GCGCTGGGGGAAGGGCCCAAAGGCGCCTTGAGGTGCGGATTCCCCGGGGCGGGGGCTGCGCTCCAGGCGACCCTGGGGCTGTGGGCGTGCGGGGCGGGGCGGTGTGGGGGGTTGGGGGACTCGGGACTCCTAGCGCTCGCCGCGGGTGTCCAGGTCCCGCCAGCCTGTGGAGTGCGGGTGCGCTCTGGGCGCCTTCGGGCTCAGGGAATGCCCGCCCCGCCAAGGGCTCCGCGGCTTCCCGGCCACTGCGGGGGGCGGTGTTGGCCCACTGCGCAACACTGAGGCACTGACATTCCCTCACCCCCACCCCACCCCACCCCGCCCAACTTTAGAGAGTGGGATACTCAGAGACCTGACATGCCTGGCCTAAAACCACATAGCTGCTAAGTGACAGAGTCTGGATGGAGACCCCACCCTGTCTCCCACCCTTCATCCTGTCTCTGGATTGCTGGGCTATTTTTACTGAGCACTTACTATGTGACAGGCACTGGGCTAATTGCTTTCCAGGCTTAGATCTCAAAGCAGCTATGTCAGGTGGACGACAGATCATGGGTTTCCGTTTTGCAAATGAGGAAATGGAGGCTCCGAGAGGCAATGTGCCTTGCCCAAGGTCACCCAGCCAGAAGGCAGCAGGTTTAGGGCTCAAACGGAGGTCTAGCTGATCACTAAAAGCCCCTACAAGGCAAATACACTCAGAATTACCCCAGTTTGGGAATCCTGCCGATGGACGTTTGTCCTCTGTACCATCTGTCCCCACCTACACCACGGTGTCATCTCATTTTCTCTTTCAAGTCCCAGGGAGCTCAGTTCAACCCAATTCAGTGCTTACGAAGGGCCTTCACCCAGGCCAGGCTATGTGCAGGGATGGCAGCTGCTCATTTGCTTGAGGCTATGAAAGCACAGAACATTTTCCAGAATGTTACTTGCTTTGCAGAAAGCAACTGTCAGTGTGCACGTTTGCCTCTGCCCCTGCCACCGAGACCCCAGAGGGCTCAGCCCTCAAAAGGATGAGTGGCCCCAGTACAAAACAACTTGCGTTTGTTCAATGAGTGAACGAATGAATGAATGGGTAGATGGATTCAGGGGTCCTCAAACTATGGCCCACGGGCGGCCCACTGAGGACATTTATCCGGCCCACTGGGTATTTTTGCTGCCGCTGCCTGTCCTGCTTAGCAGCTGACTCGCTGGGCCCACAGTGCACACGTGTGGAATGTGTGCTGTACTCTCCAATGGCCCTCCAACGGTCTGAGGGACAGTGAACTGGCCCCCTATTAAAAAAGTTTGAGGACCCCTGGTAGATGAAAGGCCAAGTTCACTTTAGCAGGAAGGAAGGACCCAGAGAGCTCACTCATGCAAGAGGTTCACTCGCCCAGTCAGACAGTCACGGCCAGAGAGGTGAACCAGACCCTGCACGGGGACTTGGAGCTGGAGTGGTCTCGTCCTCGGAGATCTGGACCAGCAGGACAAGTCTGACCTCCTTCCCTCCCTCCTCTCCCTCCATCCTTCCCTCTCTTCTTCCCTCCATCACATCCCCTCTCTCCCTCTTTGTCTTCCTTCCCTCTCTCCTTTCCTTCCTCCCTCCCTCCCTCCTTCCTTCCTTCCCTCTTTCTCTTTCCTCCTCCCCTCTCTCTTTCCTTTCTTCCTTCTTCCCTCCTGCAAACATCATTGACTCCTGCTGTAGACTAGACCCTGCGCCAGCTCTAGGGGACCCAAGAGGGGAAAAGACAAGGTACCCAGACTTCAAGGGACTCAGGGGAGAAGCCAGACCCATTGAAACCTCCTTTAAATGTTATCTGGGAGTTTTGGGCAAAGTGCTCAAGGAACATTCCATGGGACAGGAAGAAGAAGACCCCAGCGCACAGGACGGTGAGATGCCCGGTCCATCCGTCCGTGGGAAGTGGCTCCCCATTTCCCAGGGGCAGGCCCCGGAGGGCATCTGCTTAACCCAATAGGTGTTCCAGGTGCAGAGCCCAGGGCTTAGGGAAATGTTTGTGAGCTGAGAAAATAGAATGTGCTGCCTACAAAATCAGAAAAGAAAACGGCAAGGTCAAAATTGCTAAAAGTTTAATTAAAGGCCTTCAGACTGTAACACTATTGATTGTTACATTTAGCAGTGGTAAGAACGGTGGTAATGTCTGAACACATGTTGTTGCTTTGACCTTGCTTATTTGCCAAGAATTCCCGAGGGGGCAGTTCGAGAGTGAGAAACTAGGGCCTGTTAGAAATTGGATGCGTGATCCACACCTGCCTGACTTTAGAAGCAAATGGTGACAAGCCTTTGCTTTTTTAACAGCAAAACTAAGAAATTGCATTTGGTGGGTGGCTGGGGTGCCCATCCGTGTGCTTGTGATCATGTGGAGAAGGGGTGGGAGCCGGGCAGAGCCGTGGAGGCGCCACCAGGATCCCCAGCCTGTCCCAGCACGACCACCCTGTGCGGCGTCACCCTGCCGCTCTCGCACTCTGGTCTCAGCGGGCTGGATGACCTCGTGGGCCCCTTCCAGCCAGGGCACTGAGCTGTGTTTGGAAAAAGATACCAACGGGAAGCTTAAGGGCTGGGTCAGTGGGACCAGGAAGCTGCCACGGCTGGGGATTAGCAGTCACGCCGGGGGTAGGATGTCCTGGCTGGGACAGCTAATCCTTAATGCCTCAATGGAGATTTTCAATGAGAAATTCATCTCACGACCCTCCTGGCTGGGGCCTTTGTCCTTGAGAGACAAACACCTTCCACGTGAGGCGGGGAAGGAGGAGGAGGAGGAGGAACACCCGGAAGGAGCTGCCACCCCTTCTCTCTCCAGAGTGACGCAGGTCAGCCAGCCTGCACCCAGGTGGCCTCTGAGGGACCAGCCTCCCACCCTCCACAAGGACCCTTCATCTGTATTATGTGATATTAATATTATGCAGTGCTCCTCGACGTAGGATGGGGGTTATATCCCAGTAAGCCCACGGCAAAGACGAAAAATCCTAAGTGCCACCATCCTAAGCCAGGGACTTCCTGGACGTCAGGTGACAACAGTGACAACACCGTTGTTGTAGCCACTGTGCATGGAAGGCCCACCACGTAGGCCTTTCACGTGCTTACCCGCTTCGCCCTGACAGCAGCCTGGGCAGTGAGAACTGCCATCAGGCCCATTGCACAGGCCGAGAACAGAGGCTCAGCTGGTGAAGGCCCGGGCCCAGGCCATGCTGGGAGCAACCAGCAGGGAGCAGGGATCCGAACCCCGGCCTGCCCAAGCCCAGGGCGGGCTCTGGCCACCACCCTCAGAGCCCTCTCACTGCTCCTTTGATGACCCAGGCTCTTGTCCCTCCCTCATGCCACAGAGATCCAAGGACAGGGTGTTTACCCCATTTCACAGATGAGGCAACTGAGGCCTGGGGCAATGCCGGGTCTCAGGTCACCACATCAAGTCCCCTGGGGTGGGAGAAACTCCTCCTCACAAGATTTCAGCACAGCCCTCAGCTCTGTGCCCCACAACCAGGGAAGAAGTGCCCCAGGTGTTTGAGGAACTTGGGGCCAGCAGCCAGGGAAGGGGGCCTTGTGACTGCCCAAGGCCACAAGCAAGGCCACAGCAGGGCTCTGATGGGCCAAGCTCCTGGGGTCCGGCTGCCACCATCTCCCTGCTGCCACCCTGCTCTGCACTCTAATGGTGGCGCCATGGTCAGCATGAGGCAAAGGAGCTCCCAGGGCCACTGGTCCTGTCCCGCCCTCTGCCTGGTCGTGCCATATTGAGGACAGGCCCTGGCCCTCGCTGGGTGCAGGTGAGCGAGCAGGGCGGACATAGCTGTCTGCCAGGCCTCCCCAGCCCGAGGCTGGGCGCACGCCATCCGCGTTCCCTGTGCTGCTCCGGTTGACAGGCCCAGCGCGCTGGGCGTCACAACCAACTCAAACAGCAGCGGCGGAAGGCAAAACAGGATCTTCAAGCCCAAAGACTCTTCTGTTCCGCCAACTGGCCTCCGCTTGACGTGGGTGGAAGGGCCTTCCCTGAGGGCCCAGATGACCAGTGCTTGTCCTTGCCAGGCCAGGGCAGGCCACCTTCCTCCTGAACCTCACTTTCCTCACCTGGAAAATGGGGCTGTCCCAACCGGCCTCACAGAGTGGCACGAGGATGGAGGGGACCGTGTCCCTACAGTGCCAAGCCCAGTGTTAGACACACAGCAGCCGCCAGGCATCTGTCTGCACCTACTGGGTCCTGGGCCCTGGGGGGCGGGAGACGAATGTGACTCGCTGCTGCTCCCAGGAGGTCACATGCAGGAACAGCCGTCCCCACTCCCCGCAGAGGCGCACATCTCAGGTCTCAGCTCCACCCTTTTCTGTCTGCAGGGCCTCCAGCAGCAAGTCTTCCTCCCCTTCTCAACCTCGCCCTTGTCACCTGAAAAATGGGGGCGGTAACACCCCCTGTGAGGTTGCTGAGGAGATGAAACCTAACGAAATAGGAAGAGCACCTGGTACACAGTAGCTGCCAACTAAATGGCCACTGTCATTATCAATAGTCTGCGGGCTGCACCGTAAAGTGCTGTGCACATGAGCTGCAGGGTTACGAGGGTCGTGTCTAGGCTGAGCTGAGGCTCTGGGTCTTGGGCTAGGGTCAGAGCTCACGGCTGGAAGGCACCTTGGAGTCACCTGGTCCAGTCGTTCCCACCTGGTTGGCCGCTCCTGGGCAACCTGGGTGCTCCAGCCCAGAGCCTCAGCTCAAGTTACCCAGGGCACTCAAGCATCTGGATTGAAACAAGCTTCCTAGGTCATTTAGTTTAATCCTTCTTTTAAAAGGCTATCGCCCAGAGTAGAAAATTCCAGCAAAACTAAAAACTACACAATGAAAGGAGGAAAGTAAGTGGTGCTCAAGGTCTCCATGCAGCCTGTGGGAGTCCCCCCTCTCGGGCCACAGCTCTCAGAATTCCCAGCAAGAAGGATGAGCTGGCAGGCCCTCCCACCTGGACATCTGCGATGTGTCAGTGAGGGTGGTTGTGTGACCAGGAGCCGCCATCGGGAAGGAGGAGGCCACTGTGGGTCCACAAATGCCCAGGAAGCACAGCTGTGAGTTTGAGAGGCGGGAATCCAGCTCACACTGGTTTAGGTGGGAGAAAAAAAGGAAGGAGGGGGCTGACAGGTGGACTTATTTGAACTGAAAACTCCAGGCGTATATAAGGCTTCAGGTATTGCTGGATCCAGGTACTCAAATGATACATAATTTTCTCATTTCCTTAGTATTGCCTTCATTCTTCTGTGGGCGTTGCCAGGTGATTATATCTAAAGTCCTTATGGACAAAGGCATACCCAGGCGATCTGCAGAGACCCTGCTCCAGCTTTGGGTAGAGAGCGCCTTCATGGGGAACGGTGGGAAGTTCTCCGCCTTGCAGGGGGGGAATGTGTCTGCTTTCTTCACGAGTCTGGGTTGCACTGTCTTGGTCTTGCATGCACGTAATATGTGTGTGTGAACATGCACATACATATATGTGTAAGTACATACAAGGGCTGTCCAAAAAGTATCCAGCCATGCACTGTGTTCGCGGTATATTGACAATGGCTGGACACTTTCCGGACAGCGCTCATGCGTGCTCGTCTGAGAGTTCCCCACACGCTGTTTGGGGCAGGGGACCCTTAGGAAGAAGGGGGCGAGGCTTCTCCCCACTTTGGTAGAATTAGCCTAGTACAAGCCAGACTTGGAGGTCCCCCAGAGCTTCTGCAGAAAGGGATCCTTGACACGGTGTGGCAAAATTCCACCGTCACTGAGCTGGGGCCAGCGAGGGTGCAGAGGAATGGGTGACCCCAAGAATATGGCTCCTTAGAAAGCAGGTCCCTTGAGTCCCCTGTGCCACCTCCTCAGGCCCGTCCCCAAGGGACAAAAGCTTCTCGCTTATGTCACGTCAGAGCTGTGAGAGGTGGCTGATGCCAGTGGGAGAAGGTGTCTTTGTCCCAGGTGTGATCTATGCTAGTAACAGCACCCAGCGGGACACGCTGCAGCTCCGTGAGGGCGAATCGGGGTCTTGGGAGGTGGGGGGCGGCGAGAGAAGGAAAGGGGCAGGCAGCTGAAGGCAAGATCTCCACGTGGGATGGCTGGACCCAGGCAGAGAAGAAACCCAAGAGGAAGAATCGTCAATGTGTGCGGCAGTAGTCTTTCAGCAATAGACCTACAGAAATTCAGAGACACGGCTCACGGTCACGCAAGTACCACAGGATCCCAGCAGTCACCTAGGCCGATTTTTGCACATCTTCCTTGGTGGGGTCTCGCCACCTTCCCAGGCAGTGGCTGGCTCTAATAGGAGGCCCCAGAGAGAGAGACTTCGGGCATCCTAGGGACGGGTCAGCAGCTTGGTGACCCATGTGGGAGGAAAGCCCCAGAGCGCAGGGACTGCCCCCTGCCCAGGGCAGAAATCAGATCAAAGAACCAAACTGCAATCAAGCTGTGAAAGACGCCAGCAAGGAGCTGAGGCTGGGGATGATGGGGAGGTCACCCCAGCAGGCGATCAGGGAGGGCATTCTGGGAAGGTGACATCGAGAGCCAGAGACAGCTGGGAGGAGAGTTCTGGGCAGAGAACAGCCTGTGCAAAGGCCCAACATAGGAAAGCGGTTGGCATCTTTCTGGAACATAGGAAAGCTGGGGGTGCAGAGGCAGGAGAGGAGTTTGGGGAGGCAGCAGGCAGATGACTCAGGTGCCCGTGGGCCATGGGTTTAAGTCCCTCCGGCTGCTGTGTTGAGGGCACAGAGGATGGGGATGGGTGCTCAGAGGGCGGACAGGACGAGGCTGGCAGAGCGCAGCTCCTGGCGTGCGCTGTGCAGCCTTGGGCAAGGGGCTCGACCTTCTGGACCGCACCGTGGCCCACTCTCGGGGTAACTTTGAGGCAGTTTTGTTCACTCTCAGGAAGAACTTCCTACCAAGTAGTCAGAGCAAGCAGGCTTGGGAGGTAGTGAGCTCCCTGTCATTGCGAACATTCACACTGAACCTAGCTCTGCTCATGACAGATATTGCAGAGGACACTCAGATACCATAGAATGACCTCTCAGGTCATGGACTCTGACTCCCCGTGAGCCACAATTCTAGCCCCATCTCTGCCCCTCTCTTGCTGGGTAACCTCAATCTGTGTGGCTTCCCCTCTTTGAGCCTCAGTTTCCCAATGATGACAAAGTTAGACTGGATGATCACTAGGTGATCACGATGGGTCCTCCCACCAGAACATTCACCAATTCATCCTTTCTCAGTCTTCTCCCCAGCTCCCACCACAGGGACCACCTCCTTGGCAGCTGCAAGCTCCATGAGGACCTGCTCTTAGTCTTGGCAGAAAGTCCTCTCCATACCCACCCATTCCAGTGCAAGCATCCTGGGTGACCTTTGAGTTGACAGTGTCTCTGCTCATTCTGGACAGGGGTTATTTTCTTTGGAGCCTCCCTGGATGGTCCCGGAACCAGGGCTTGCTTCTGTGGGCAGCCTCCCATCCCGTCACCACCATATAAGGGCCACCAGCTCTTGGTAGAATCCTAGCAGGCTGCGCAGAGGACAAGGATTCTGTTAGCACTCTCCTCCAAACCCGTGAGTAGTGGCTTCCCCACCAATGACGCCCCACATGGTGGTCTTCAGAAGGCATCCCGGGCAAGAGGCACAGGGATGAAGATGCTTGGATTAGCTAGCATTCTGAGTAGAGCAAATTTAGCTGCACGGATTAGTATAGTAAGCAAAATGTCTGACGGATGAGCAGTGCAGGGCTTTGAGTTGGTGTCCATTGGCTTGTTCCTACTTTTAGTCAACAAATATTTGTTTACTGTGCTAGGTGCAGCCTTTTTATTGGGGTTTGAGGATTCAACAGTGAAATTAGTCATAGGCCTTTCCCTAAGGAGTTCCCAGCCCGGGAGGAAAGCACACAACATCAACAGGGAGTCGATACCCGGGACCCTGATCAGAGAACGAAGGCAGCAAGGCACTGGGATGGAGCCCCCAACTGAGACCCTGAGGAGGGGCCCAGAGTAGGCTTCACCGAGGGCATGATGTCTTCCTGCAGCTGGAGAGTTGGCAGGAATCGGCTTAGGTGAACAAGTGAAGAAGAAGAAAGATGTTTCAGGCAGAGAAGAGAGCACATGTAAAGGACCTTCATGTAAAGGGCTTGGAGTCGAGTCTGACTCTTCTAATCCCATCCCCTCCTCTCACTGGCTGCGTGTCTCTGGGCAGGTTGCTACAGCTTTCTGACCTTGGCTGCCCATCTGTAAACAGGAGACAACCACATCCGTCTTGAAAGAATGTTAAGTGTAAGAGTGATAGGTGCTCACTGACGACCCCAACTCCCCCTGGGCAATTCTCACTCCTGTTCCTCCCATGACTGTCTAGGTATCAAGAGAAAAAGATGCTTTGGAAACTTGTTCTCCTGTGTGGCCTACTCACTGGGCCCTCAGAGGCTCTTCTTGAGAATCTTGGCAATGACCTTCATAATGTTGTGGACAAGGTGAAAACTGTTGTTAGCAATGACGTGCATGATGTTGTGGACAAGTTGAAACCTATTGTTGACAAAGGACTTGAGACGGTTGACAATACTCTCCAAGGTGAGTCAACAAGGGTGAGCATCACTGTGCCTGCATTACCAGAGGCTGCCACCAGGGGCTGCCCTTTATGTGTGGTTTACTGAGAAAGGTGGCTATTCAATTCCCGGCTCATTCATTTATTTTTCTATAAACAAGCAATGCTACAATGAGTATCCGTCTACATATTATATCCTGATAAACTTTTACCAATATTTACGTAAGATAAATTCCTAAAAGTGGGATTTCAAAAGTTCAAAAACTATGCTGTTGACAAATAATCCCCTACGTTAACACTTTCTCCAACACCCGATGAGATGCCTTTCATTCTCACCTCCTTGCTAGCAATGGACAACTTTAAATGCTTTGCCAGTCTTACAGATGAAAGATTGCAACTTAATTCACTTTAAATTTCTCTAATTGTGAAAGAGCCCTCTCATGTTTTCATATACTTACTATCTAGTTACATATTTTAACTTAAATATTTTGTCCATATTCGTAGCATATTCTTCTGCTAGGTTGGTTAATATTCTTACTGACTTGTGTTATTTCATTGAAAATTGAAGAAATTAGCCCTACCTAGCCTACAAATCTGGAAACTACCTACCTTTATATTTAATCATATCTCCTTTTTATGGGGACTTCTCAAGATAACTTGACTTTGTTTTCATTTTCTGGAAAGATTAGCCGCACATTGAAAACAGTTTTTAATAGGAGAAGGTGACTTCTGCAGATGATTGCCTTCTAAACCTTGCCAGGGCTTAGGCAGCTTTCAAAGATGCAAAAAAGGCCGGGTGTAGTGGTTCACACCTGTAATCCTAGCACTCTGGGAGGCCGAGACGGGAGGATCGCTCAAGGTCCAGAGTTTGAAACCAGCCTGAGCAAGAGTGAAACCCCATCTCTACTAAAAATAGAAAGAAATTAATTGGCCAACTAAAATATATAGACAAAATTAGTTGGGCATGGTGGCGTGTGCCTGTAGTCCCAACTACTCGGGAGGCTGAGGCAGTCAGATCACTTGAGCCAAGGAGTCTGAGGTTGCTGTGAGCTAGGCTGACACAACAGCACTCTAGCCTGGGCAACAAAGTGAGACTCTGTCTTAAAAAAAAAAAAAAAAAAGATGCAGAAAAGACCTGCTCTCTACCCCCATAATACGCCAAAATAAAATAAATAAATAAAAAAACAAACAAAAAAACAAAACAAACAAACAAAAAAGACCTGCTCTCTAATTTCACAGCTGAGAAAACTGAGGCCCAGGGACAGAAATATCTGGATCAAGGTTACCTAGTGACCAGATTTAGTTATATCACCATTTTTTAAAAAGTTGTCATTCTCTGCATCATTATAACTATGTAGATATTGTCAGTTGCAGAGCCGAGTTGCAGTCTTATGATACCTCTTTTCTTATACTGTACAGTCTTTTGTTTTTCCTTGAGTTAGTCATTGCTTTGTTGTTTCTTACTTGAATTATTCTCTCCACTTAATTCCTTAGTTCTTTTCATATTCCCCATCCTACATCTGCCATGTCATTTGTTCTATCTCATCCCTGTTCTTCAGGGACCTACCATAGGGACACTGTGTCCTCCTGCTCCTGTATAGAGTATTGCTCTCTAGGCCTGCTGCAAAGCTGTCGTTCTGGGACTTTAATTTGCCACTTTCATGGGTTGGAGCCATATATTTTTCCTTGATTCTAGATTTTCCATTTCTTAGTTTATACTTTCATTTTGTTTGACCTAGTCTTTCAAACTTGTATGAGCATCACGTTGAGGGTAGCAGACCCCCAAGTCACTCCTAGAAGCTGGAGTACAATCCAATTGCCTGGCGTGGCTGGCAATTGCATCCACTGCTCTGTTGATAAATGATCCGTCTATATTAGTACGGAGGCCTCGTGGAAGAAACAAAGGTTCCCTAGCTATGTGACTATACACACTTCTTAACCTTTTAAAACCTTTATTTCCTTATGTGTAAAATGCAGGTAAAAACAATATCTACCTCATCGAGTGGTTGTAAAGATTAAATGAAACAACATAGGCAAACAGTCCTATCTGTCCGGAGCCTGGTAGCTGCTTTGTAGGTGATGCATGACATGAAATGGCAATTGCTTTTGGCAGGCGTCCTTCAGAATCTGAAGGTTGACTTGAAGCTGCTACAGGAATCCGAGGCGTGGCAGCTGGCCAAAAAGAAGGTCCAGGAAGCTGAGAAATTGGTGGATAATGCCCTTTCTGATGTCCATCTAAGTGCAGGGAAGGCCCTGGGGTGAGTTGGTGCTTCCGGGTAGAGATCTGTGCTCCACATGTTTGGGGAGGTAAGTTTAAGATCAAAGACAGATGGGCAAGCCTCGTTCCTCCCACACAGAGCCGAGGTGGGCTGAGACCAGACCCAGCAGAGCCTGGCATGTTAGAGGCAGAGCTACAGGGCCAATCTGGGCTCCCACATTCTGTAATGTCAAGGTCAGGGTGAAGGTCACATTCATGCTCACCTCCACCAGTTTGCTGGTGCCTGCAGTCCCTTTTCCAAGGAATAAAACTTTTCTTCTCTACATATCACTGGGGGTAAACGCCCAATTCCTCTTAGAGGCAGGGAACCTGGAATCTACCGCATCTAACCCCAGGTAGTGGCTTCACGGGGAGCTTTGGAGTCAGATAGTTCCGGGCTCCAGTTCAGGCGCTGGCACTTACGCCCTTTGAAATCTTGGGGAGAATGACATCTGCCCGATTCCTCCTGCCACGTCCTCTGAACGCGGCTACAGTGACGACTAGAGAAGGCAAGCATGAGGCTGGCACAGGGGAGTGCTCGGCAAACAGCTGTCTTGAGGAATGACAAGGGAGAATTGTGATTTTTACGCAGGTTGAAAATCAGCGACTCCATCATCCTGGATATCAAGCCCGAACTGACTGCTGACGGCAAAGGCATCAACCTGAGGGTCCCCGTCGTCGCCGATGTCTCTGCGACCCTGTGAGTAGCACTCAAATCTGAGATGTGGGACAGGCAGCGCAATGTGGCCAATGGATCCCCAACCTGGGAATCAGGCGCCTCCCCACGCTGCTGTGTGACCTGGGGACTCGGTTTCCCAATCTGCAAGTGAGGGGAACTTTCCAGGTTTAAAAGCCCAACCTTTAAAATGTTCTAGCGAACTTTGGCCATAACCAAGTCTCTTTTAAGAGAATGCTCCACTGGATATAGTTTTGAAATCGTGACATTTATCTAATTATAAAGTTTGAAAAAATTAAGAAGACATAAACATTTCTCATTCTTTGGCAAAAATCCTTCCAGCATTATTTTGTCTCTCACAATTCTCTCTAAACTGCAGTAACCATTATAGATAAATTCATGGAGTAATGTGAGTATATAATAAAAAACATTATGCAAAATGTAATTTTAAAATTTAAATTTTAAAAGAGATAGAAAAATGATCGTAAGTAAAAAAAAAAAAAAAAACTTCTATAAATGACATGCACTATTGATATATTCCCGATTAGCTGTGAGATCTTGGGATAGTTACTTAACCTGTCTGTACCAAGGTTTCCTCATTCAGAAAATAGAGATAATAACAGCATTAATATTTTTCCCCTCATAGCCGGGCGCGGTGGCTCACGCCTGTAATCCTAGCTCTCTGGGAGGCCGAGGCGGGCGGATTGCTCAAGGTCAGGAGTTCAAAACCAGCCTGAGCAAGAGCGAGACCCCGTCTCTACTATAAATAGAAAGAAATTAATTGGCCAACTGATATATATATAAAAAATTAGCCGGGCATGGTGGCGCATGCCTATAGTCCCAGCTACTTGGGAGGCTGAGGCAGAAGGATCGCTCGAGCCCAGGAGTTTGAGGTTGCTGTGAGCCAGGCTGACGCCACGGCACTCACACTAGCCTGGGCAACAAAGCGAGACTCTGTCTCAAAAAAAAAAAAAAAAAAAAAAAAAATATTTTTCCCCTCATAGCATTGTTGTGATGATTCCATGGACTAATTCGGGTTAAATACTTTTTAGACGTGCCTATAGATAATTTGTGCTCAATACATGTTAACTAGTATTATTTTAATTATTAGTGTAATGCTGTATAAAAATTTCATATGAACTAAACCCACGTGGCCAGGACAAGAAGCCTATAATATACATATAATCCCATAAAGAACGTGGACCATGTTGACATGACCTGGACCATGCCAACATTCTCCAAGACGTTCTGGAAAATGTCCACGCGGGTAGAGGAGCCCAAGGGGTTCACATGCAGGGCCTTCTAGAAGGCTCTGCTCACTGTGTATCTTGCTCCCCGCAGGCCCCTCATTGGCCAGGTTGTCGACCTGAAGGCCTCCTTGGACCTCCTGACTAGAGTCAAGGTTGAAACTGATGCCCAGACCAAACTGCTCAAGGTGACCCTGGGAGAATGTGTCAGCGATGCCACCAGCATCTCCCTCTCCTTGCTGGACAGGTAAGGCCCGCCCATCCTAGCAGAGCTGGGATCTCAGGGGAGGTGAGGACCCCTGATTTCAGCCCTACCCTATACCTAAGAGGAGGCACAGTGTGGCAAAAGAGTTCAGGCTCTGGAGTCAAGGTTGACCTTGGTTCAAATATCAGCTCTACCACTAACTTATAATTTGATAGCCAACTTTATAATCTCTCTAAGCCTCAGTTTTCACATCTGTAGATTGGGGGTGATAATAATAGCTACTCGAGGCTTCCCAGATGAGCAGATGAGAACATACAGATGTCGAGCACCCAGCCTGGCGCGTACTAGGCTGCCAGCGATGACAGTCTCCACTCTGACTCTCCGTCTGCTGGCTCTCTGGGACCGAGGCAGGAGCACGGACATCCCCCACCGTAATCGTGACTTTGCTTGTGTTGCTTTTCAGCTCTATCAGTTTTTTCTTTGTCCCTTTTCATCTGTAGTTAGGCACATACACACCAGGGCTGTCATGTCTTCTTGGAGAATCGACCCCTTTATCCTTATGTTACGTCCCTGGATAATGAGAATAGTAATGAAATTGTGCCTACCTTCTTGCCTCCAGCCGGGAGGGAGGGGGACTAAACTCAAACCATGGGCTCCAATTTCAGACTGTCCCCAGCTGTCCTCCACCCACTGGAAAATTCCCAAAATGATATCTTGAACACTTAATCCTCTCCATTTAAATCACTGATCCCTGTTAATCCACAAAATCTACATCTTAAGCTGTGTGCTTGAGAGAGCAGTTGGGCACAGGCAGGAGGGCGCAGGAGGCAGTGTGGCCCTGGCCGCTGGCTGGGAGAGGAGGAGTGGTTGGGAAGCCCTGGGCTGGGGCTGGCTGGCCTTGGCCAGGACCAGGGCGGGGTCCTGGGCTCTCAGCCCCATGGCCACGAGCAGAGGTCACCCCACCCACCCCCACCCAGGGTTCTGCTCACAGTTGCCCAAAGACCCCCTCAAACCGCTGATGTTGCTTGGCAAGGCTGGGATGCGAATTCCGAGGCCTGAGCCTGCCGGACACTGCCTCGCCAAGCAGCCGGGCAATTCCTCCTGCGGCTCTGGGTCTGTCCACATCTGTAAAACGCACCAGTCCCTGGCCCCAGATGCTCTCGAGGCTTTTCTCCACACTTTGGGTTCAATCCCAAGTGTTCCTCGTGGGCCCACTTCTGGGCCCACCCTCCTCTCACTGCACTCTCCCCTCACTCACTCTGCCCAGACACGCAGCCTTTGCTCTGGGCCTCGGACTCGCTCTTTCCTGCCTCAGGGCCTTTGCACGGGCTGTTCTGGCTACTTAGAACACCTGTTCCTCACTCCACCGCAGCGTACCTTCTCATCCTCCTGGGCCTCAGCAAGGTTCCTCCTGTCCTCTCTTATAAGAGTCACTCTTGTCCTTTAGAGTACTTGTCACAAGTCGTCATTATATATTTAAGAGTATGTTTACTTCATCCATTCTTTCAGCCCAAAATTTATTGAACATCTGCCATGTGCCGGGTGGGAATTGGTTGGTGATGACAGACAAGGGCCGTATTCTCACGGGGCTTATACTGGGGGAAAAGTGGTTGAGTCCATCCATAGAGAAGCCTCGGGGGTGTGCTGGGTCTTGCACACGGCATGCCACCTGACAGAGTACTGTGACAGCAAAGCCCTCTCTTAGACAAGCAGCAGGGAGCGCTGCCCTGAGGAGGTGGCAGTTACGAGTAGAAGGCGGGATGCACCCATCTTGGCGAGATGTGTTTGCTGTTAGGTTCCAGGTCGGGGCTGTTTGCACTGTGCTCATCCCGTGTCCCCAGGGCCTAGCTGGGTTCCTGGCACGTGGCTGGTGCTCTGTAAATACTAGTTGAATGAATGAATGAATAAGACCTCGGGGCTGTGATGGAGGTGAGCAGCTGGGCAGATGTGGGATTCCAAGTGACGATCTGTCTGGCGGGACGCCGTCTGTAGTTAGGAAGGCACCTCGGGGTCCCTGGGGTTTACCTGACTTCAAGTCTCCCCACGCCACCACCCCGCCTCTGCCCACGAGACTGGGCTTTATCGGTTCCATGTCTTTTCCAGACGCAGCACCCTGATCAACAATCTTGTGGGCTCCGTGACCAGCATCCTGAAGAAGAGTGTGTCCTCCCTGGTGCAGAAGGATGTGAGTCCCCCACTGCTTGGGGCCCAGAGCCAGGCCTGCTGGGGAGCAGGTGTGGCATTTGCAGACCTGGCTGTGTCCTCTGGGCCCTTTTCCTCCAGAGGTGAAAACTCCTCTCTGGGAGGTCCACCTGGCGCCTGCTCCTCCATCACCCAGCCTGGTGGCCGGGGTGGGGAGCGGGAGCCTGACATCAGCTGAAGTCCCCAGGTCCCCAAACTCGAGCCACTTGCCATATCCATGCATTACCAACATGCTTTTGTAGCTAACATTTTCTTTCAGTCAACACAATTTTAATTAAACAAATTTATTTAAATGTATTTATTTTGAAAGAGGAAACTTTATATCCCTGTCAAAAAACAGAAAATTAGGCTGGGCATAGTGGCTCACGCCTGTAATCCTAGCACTCTGGGAGGCCGAGGCGGCTGGATTGCTCAAGGTCAGGAGTTCGAAACCAGCCTGAGCAAGAGCAAGACCCCATCTCTACTGAAAATAGAAAGAAATTAATTGGCCAACTAAAACACATAGAAAAAATTAGCCGGGCATGGTGGCGCATGCCTGAAGTCCCAGCTACTCGGGAGGCTGAGGCAGAAGGATTGCTTGAGCCCAGGAGTTTGAGGTTGCTGTGAGCTAGGCTGATGCCACAGCACAAAGTGATTCTCCGTCTCAAAAAAAAAAAAAAAAAATAGAAAACTAATATCACGTATCATAACTAATTGACAAAATAAACAGACTTATAAAATATTTTTTCATCAGGGCATATCCAAAACCATATGGACCATGTGTAGGATTCCTGGACTCAAAGTTTCAGAGATTTTAAATTAGTCATTCTGGAAGGAGGCCCAGAAATGTGGCTTTAAAGGAAAAATCCTCCAGGCGGCTGAGTCCCTCAGTGACCCCGAGCTTGGGCGCTGCAAGTGCAGGCGTGTGGCCAGCTGCAGCCTTCGCTGGGCACTTGTTAGAAATGCAGAATCCCACGCCTCACCCCGCCCTGCTGAGCCAGGATCTGCAGGGAAACGTCTAAGAGCATGGGGATATAACACTCTGGATTCTAGATCATTGGTGTTCTGGAATTCTAATGTTCCAAAGCTTTAGGATTCTAGCATCCTGGGGTTCTCAGATTTTAGACTGCTAGAATTCCATTGTTCTATGAATAAAATCCTAAGTTTCAAAGGTTCTGAGATCTCTAGAAATGAGCGTCTCTGTGGGTGGCCGGTGGTTTGTTCCCAGCTGAGAGTGATCTGTCCTTCCTCCTCCTCCCGGCCCTTCTCTCCCGCCTCTCCCTGGCTCTCAGCTGTGCCCACTGCTCGGCATCTTCATCCATGGCCTGGATGTGAAGATTTTACAGGACATCGCCGGTAAGGCACAGTCTGGGCGGGTGGGGCTTTCCAAGGGCAGGCATGCGGCTGTGGCCGCCCCATAGCAGTTCTGGTCTGGGGGCCTTGGACAAACAGAAGGACCACTGTTCTGAGCAAGTTGGGAGCTGTGGCTCCTCCCCAGGCACTCGGGGGCTCTCTTTGGCCTTTAGGTCTCCAGGCATGGCTGGGACTGCCGGGACAGTAGAAATGGGGCATGTGAAAGTGTCAAGACCCTGGAGGTGGCCCTTCTATGAAAACAGCCACAAATCCAGTCCCTTAGGCAGTCACTCCCTGCTCTGCACACACTCCCTTGTTAGATCCTGCGGGGTGGGGACTGCCATGTCCCCATTTTACAGATGACCAAAGAGAGGCGAAGTGACAAGCCTGAGGTCCCATAGCTGTCAGACTGAGCCACTGGAGAGTGACAGCTCTTGGGATCTGATCTCTATTCAGTTTTCCAGTGGCAGAGGCTGAGGCCTGCTGTTGATTTTGTTCCTTCAGTTAAACTTCAGGAGAGAAGCAGTGTGCAAACCGCGTGAGGACAGATGAGGAGGACCCCTGCGTGCCGCCTGCTGGTGAGCGACTCGTGGTGAAGCGAAAGCCAGGCCTGGCTTCTCTTCTTTGTGCAGCAGCAGACTGAGCCCTCATCCCAGCCATAGACTGAGCCCTGGCCCTGACGCCGGGCTATGCCCTGACTCTGGTCACATTCTGAACGCTGAGTGTCTTGATTACGCACCCAGACCGAGCTCTCAACCTGGCTCCAGGCCGAGCCCAGATCCTAGCCGCCAGCTGGGCTTTGATGAGGGTTACCGTCTGAGCCCTGATCCCGATCTCAGACTGACCCACATTCAGATCATACACTGAGCCCTGGCCCTGGCTCCATCGGTCTGTCCACATCTGCCCTTGCTCCGAAGGAGGGCAAAGGGGGTGAGACTGGGTCAGTGCCAGGTGCCAGAGAAAGACCCCAAAGCATAGGTGCCTGTCCCCTCTCCAAGGCCTTATTGTGGGAAAGACCTGGGACAGCGGAGCCAGGTCAGCTTGGGGCCCATCACGTGTCCATAGGGACAGCATCGCTGCCATGTCCTAACACTCTGGTCACATTCCAGGTCGGCTGCCAGTGGCTTGGCCTCACTCCCTGTAGCATCTCCCTCCGGGACGGTGCTGCCACTGCCAACCCGAGTGAAAGCCTGAGCCCAGCCAGAAGGACCTTCCGGACATCTCTGCTCAGTCAGGACAGTGGCCGCTATACCTGTTCCCCTGCCCCAGCAATAAAAGCCCATTTCGGCACCCTCCTGTGTGGCCATTGCACTCCCTCCGCTGGGATCTGCTGGCGGGAACAGGGGACGGGGCTGCACTTGGGACGGGGAGACGTGAATCCAGAGCTAGAAGGGACATTGGGAATAATACCCAGTCCCACCTCCTTGTTTTACAAATGAAGACACTGAGTCACAGAGAGGGCAGGAAACCAGTCCGGGTCATACAGCCCGTCTGTGGCTGTAACAACCTCCAATTCATCCATTCACACGTCCGACAGGTGTTTAGTGCGCAGTGGCAACGGGACAGTCACATTCTGGGGACAACCCCACCTAGTGCCTTCTTCCGTTCCTCTCCAGGCCCCTGAGGACTTGTGGAGGATCAGGGAAGCCCTGGCCCAACTGCCCCAGGAGTGCAGGGCGGAGTAACACCGGGCCAGCGGCCTGCGACCCCTCTCTGCCCGCACCACCGCCCTCCGAACAGCCAAGGGTGCCACTGGAGCCACTTCCTCCCAGGTGGCGCTGAGAGCACCCATGGTCTCCATCCCCTGGGGCTCGCCCATCCCTGCTACCGCCAGCCCTGAGAGCCTCTGCGCCCACCTGCCAGGCAGCAGAGAGGCCTGGCCTGCCTGGTCAGCCCAAGGACCTGCGATGCTCACCTGTCCCACAGAGACCGGCGCCTCCCTCCGCCCCCGGCCCGTCCCAGAGCCCAGCTCGCCCAGGCCGGGTCAGGCTGCGGAAGGAACAGCGTCACACTGCTCATGATCACACGGCCACTGGCGCCAAGGGTTGCCTTTGTGCCAACACGTGGGACCTCATTAAATCCTCACTGCACCCTGGTACCAGGACACTCCATTGTTGTCCCCATTTGATAGACGAGGACACTGAGGCTCAGAGAGGCAAAGTGACCCTTCCAGGTCACATAGTGAGCAAATGGCAGAGCTGGGCTTTGAACCCATGGCTGTGGGACCCCTGGACTTAGCACGCTGGCTCAGATAGGTGACGTCCCAGGCACTCCGGCCACCTCTCTCCAGCCCCCAGCAGGCCCTGCCTTCCTGGCCCGGGACAGGTGCCCTTCTCCCCATGTGCCACCCCTCGGTTCTCACTTTGCCCCGGAGGAGGAGGTCGCTGCCCCTTCCCCACTGTCGCCTGGTCTCGGGACAGGTGCCACGCCGGCCATACGCACACTAACACGGCCATTGCCTTGTGATCGCAGCAGCCGCTCCTTTCCGGGAGGGACTCTGAGCCCTGGAACCTTTGCCTGTTCTGCCAAGCAGCCGTCTCATTGCTCCGCACAACTCCAGCACGCAGGGACCGCGCCCGTTCCCACGGGAACTCAGGTTCAGAGCGGCAGAGCCACCCGCAGGCCCACACCCAGCTTTAATTCACCCCGGGCCACCTCTCTTAATGAAAGCCGCCTCATGGGGTCAGGTCACCGCAGGGGTCCCTTGAGCCCTTGTGGTGGCCTGAATCCTCTCCCAAGCTCCCTGCTGAGGACCTCAGTTCAGGTTAGGACTGTGAGTTGCTTGGCCCAGGGTGAGACCAAGGAGAGGGGCAGATCTGAGCTTGAGTCACCTGCTAGCAGTGTGATCTTGGGCAAGTCACTTAACCTCTCGGAACCACGGTTTTCTCACCTGCCACGCGGAATTAACAGTGAAACCTCCGTCCCTGGGCTTTGGAAGGGATAAATCCGTCAGTGGGTGGAAAGTGTTTAGCCAGGGCCTGACGCGAGTGAGCACACGAGGCTCTATGCTCCGAAATCACAGTGACGCCTGCCACGCTCCTGTTAGCTGATTCGGAAACGCACTGACGCGGCAGGGGGACTCGCGCCCAGGGAGACCTTGGGTTTCTGCTTTGCCCCTGTGAGGCGGGACTGCTAACTTCCACCTGCGGCCGGAAGCAATGGGCTATGGACCCAACCTGTGGCTCCCACGTGCCCGAGGCCAGGACCTGGAGGGGGTGGGGCCGAGGCCACCGGGCCCCACTGGTGACTGATGTGGGCATTGAGGGCAGAACGGGGACAGGGAGGAGAGGTGGGGGAGTGATCTCCCTCTCCGAGCTGGCACCTCTAGGACCAGCTCTGGCCGCACCCCAAAGTTGAGGGTGAGGGCTTCCTGGAGGTGGCAACATCCGGTGAGGGGACGGGGAAGAGGAGGACGCTTTGAGGGGTGAGGAGACATCTGCCATGAAGGGATACATGGGAAGAGCAAAGGCAAAACCTGAGTGGACGTTGAGTCACCCTGAAACTAGAGCGCCCAAGCCCAGTGTGGGCGCTTCCGAAAGCTTGATCCAGCTAAATCAGTGCTGCCCGTTCATGCGGATCTTTCCAACGTTTGTGCACTGTGTTCAGGATACCATCTCAGGATCTATGCCCTGGAACATTCTATGTCCCCAGGAACACATCACAAAATTATTTAACAAACCAGATCTTTCTGTTTACACTACGATGAGAGTGTACCTACCTCACTATATCTTTGCTAGCAGATGGATACTTTAAAAAATAATAATAATTGCTCTTTGAATGGGAGTAGAATAAATTTTATCACAGCGACAAAGCCGAATTAAGGGAGTCAATGATGACGTCAACTCGATAGATTATTTTCTGAACATTTTTTAAAAATTGGGAAATATTTGTAGTTTCCAGCCAGATGAAAATACGGATCTAGGAATTTGCCTAGCTGGAATCACAATGACATAAAAAAAAATGAAACTAGGCAACAAAAAGCCCTAAAGGGGTGCCAACGTTTGACAAGAGTTTGTTTGTTAGGCATGACTCATTTCCATGTTAGTGTTTATGCAAGACATAAAATGCATTTTTTAAAAATTGGAAGGTTATTGAATATCTCTCTGAGCCAGGCCCTGTGCTGGGCATTTCAGGGGTGACTTAAGCAGTAGCTCCCCAACCTCAGCATGTAGGGACTGCCTTGGAACATTTTATGACCCCGGGAACACATTACAAAATTATTCACCCAACTAATCTTTCTATTTGCACTATGATAAGAGAGTGTACATATCTCACTGTATCTTTGCCTGCTGGTTGGATGGGTACTTTTATTTTAAATATTTACTATTTGAATGGGAGCAGAATAAATTCCTGTAGGGTGAAAAAGTCAAAGTTCCCAAATTACTGCCACATACGTGTTGCAAGGGCTGGGGGGATGAAGGAGACGAGAGGGCAGGATTTGTTCCCGCCCTCAGGAAGGCACGCAGCCTCCTGGAGAGCTGGTTTTATGAAGAGACAATACGGTGTGGAGAGAAGGAACTCAGAGGAGGGGCTGCTGTCCACCCCTGAAATGGAGGGGCAATCAGGGTAGGCTTCCTGGAGAAGGTGCCCACTGAGAGAGCAGGGAGGGAGGGCTTTCCAAGGAGAAGTGACAAAATGAGTGAAACCTGGGAGGTGGGAATCAGCCCTCGAGACTCCTGGATCAAGGTCAAATGAAGGTGAAGTGGACGGCAGGGCCTTGAACCCCACACTACGCTGGGGCAGTTTAGATGTACCTCTTTAAGCCAGCAGATCTCAGATGATGTCTTTAGTCTTCCCACACTCACAAACTGAGGCCCTCAAAGAGCTTTTGTCTATGTGGATTCCATATATTGATATCTGTCATAAAAGGAATTAACACTGAGAAGTTTTTAAAATATGGACATATTAACTCACTTTAAAATAACAGTAGGTTGGGCGCGGTGGCTCATGCCTGTAATCCTAGCACTCTGGGAGGCTGAGGCCGGCGGATCGTTTGCGCTCAGGAGTTTGAGATCAGCCTGAGCAAGAGCGAGACCCTGTCTCTACCAAAAATAGAAAAAATTAGCCGGGCATGGTGGCGCATGCCTGGAGTCCCAGCCGCTGGGGAGGCTGAGGCAGAAGGATTGCTTGAGCCCAGGAGTTTGAGGTTGCTGTGAGCTAGGCTGACGCCACGGCACTCAAGCTGGGGCAACAGAATGAGACTCTGTCTCAGAAAAAAAATAAGTAAGTAAATAAATAAAATAACAATAACAATAATAAATTCATTATATTTTAACAAAATATTATTTTTATAATATAAATAAATATGTGCTCCAAATGCACCGTTAATGAGAAGAGCAGCTGTTTTCCAACTTCCAAAATCTTTGTATGACCTCTGGCACAATGGGAGTGGGAGTCTCAAGTCCGCTGCCTGCGTCTGCTGCAGTCTTGGCGTCCAGGAAACCCTGCTCTACGCTTGGGAGAGAATGAGAGCGAAAAGACAAATAATGTATCTGTAAGGTTTTTCGGTGGCGGTGAAAAGAAAAGACAGACAGAGAGAGAGAAAGAGTGAGGCCAAACCACATGGCTTTATTACACACTCCTGGACGAGGTTCTGGGCCCCAAGGGGGAGGCCCAGAAGTCACTGCCGTTTGAAGGGGGTGAGGCCTTTTATACCCTTTGGGCAGGATAGGGACTTTTAGCAGGAAGAGCTGGGGTTTTCCATTGTGACCTTGGGAGGTCATTGAGAAATAGGAGGGGCTGGAGGTATTTGTGGAATCCAGGAGCCAAAACGTTCTCATGGGGTGGACTTCTGGGTGTGGTTCCTCTCAGGGGGGCCTGGCAGTTTTGTCCTTGGCGGGTCTGGTCTCTTGAGCCTTTTCTTTTTTGATCTAGGGAAGGGAGGGGGCCGGCCACCAGCCTTACAGTATCAATATGAATTTAGTATTTGTTTTGACCCTGCTGACCCCCTGAAAAGGCCCTCGGGGACCCCCAGACTACACTCTGGGAACCACTGGGCTAGGTACTAGGGAGCCAAGGAAGGGCTCTGAGCAGGGGAGAGCCAGTCTCAGCTCTCAGCTGCAGGAAGCCTCCTCTGGTGGCTGATGTGTTGGGTGGGTGGAAAGAGACAAAGGCCGAGGCAGGGCCAGGTGAGACACTGCAAAGTCTCACCAGAGGGTGGGGGGAGCTGCTGGGGAGGGGGAGCTGGCTGCAGATCAGGGGAGAGGGTGGCTTCTGGGGAGGGGTGCTCACAAGAGAGGGGAGGCCAGAGAGGCCCTTCCCATAGTCCACCCATGCTGAGATGTTGCCGTCCTGGGCCCCACACTAGGCTCTGGAGAGAGACAGGGCTGATGGTTTGAGCCCTGCACCCCTCCTCCTGGCTTGGGAGGGAGAGAGTGTTGCAGGAAGGAGCAAGACCTCACCTTTGTCCCAGAAGAGGGAACAAAGGATGCTCTTCAGCTCCTATCCAAGGCCAGCAGTCAAAGTCAACATTTGTCCCCTTGTCCTATGAACTGGCTCTCTGTGCCTCAGCGGTGGCTGCTGATAGAAGCACATGTGCCAACAATGGGGCCCATAAATCACGATGTTGCAACCTGGATCAAAACTTCCAGGACATCTCATCGTGTGACCCAGCAATCATGCTCCTGGGTATTTACCCGAATGAGCTGAATACTTGTGTCCACATAAAAACCTGCACACGGATGTTTGTGGCAGCTCTTTATTCATAATTGCCCAAACTTGGAAGCAACCAAGATGCCCTTCAGTAGGAGGCTGGATAAATAAGCTGTGGCACATCCAGACAATGGAATAGTATTCAATGAGCAAAAGAAATGAGCTATCAAGCCACAAGAAGACATGGAGGAAAAATAAATGCATAGTACTCAGTGAATGGAGCCAATCTGAAATCTTTATGCATGTGTTGCAGCTACATGACATTGTAAAAATGGCAAAACTATATAGGTGGTAAAAAAAAAAAATCAGTGGGTGCCAGGGCTTGGGGGGACGGAAAGGATGAACAGGAGCACAGAGGGTTTGTAGGGCAGCGAAACCATTTCATATGATTCTGTAATCGTCAACGCATGGCCGTACACATTTTCCAAAACCCATAAAGTGCACAACACCCAGCGTAAACCCTATATGTAAACTATGGACTTCAGGTGATAACGACATGGCAGTGTAGGTTATGACCACTCTTGGCGGAATATTGATGGTGGGGGTGGGGAGAGTGGTGGGAGTATACAAGAATTCTCTTACTTTTCACTTGATTTTGCTGTGAACCTAAGAAAGAGAAAAAAAGAAAGAAATGAAGAAACAAGGAAGAAAGGAAAGAGAGAGAAAGAGAAAAGAAGAAAGAAAGAAAGAAAGAAAGAAAGAAAGAAAGAAAGAAAGAAAGAAAGAAGAAGAAAGAAAGAAAGAAAGAAAGAAAGAAAGAAAGAAAGAAAGAAAGAAAGAAAGAAAGAAAGAAGAAAGGAAGGAAAAAAGGAAGGAAAGAGAGAAAGAAAGAAAGAAAGAAAGAAAGAAAGAAAGAAAGAAAGAAAGAAAGAAAGAAAGAGGAAAAGAAGAAAGAAAGAAGGAAGAAGGAAGGAAGGAAGGAAGGAAGGAAGGAAGGAAGGAAGGAAGGAAGGAAGGAAGGAAGGAAGGTAGGAAGGAAGGAAGGAAGTTTATTTTAAAAAAGGAAGGAAGTTTATTCTAAAAAATAAAAACAATCTTACAGAATGGAGGCTCTAAGCCTAGCATTGCATCTCCCCTAGAACTTGACCTCTTCAGCCTCCTCTGCTGGGCCTCCTTGATCTGCAAGGAGGAAGCCTGCTGCCAAGTTTCCATGGGTGGTCTGGGATCTGCTCGAGACCCCTGCTCTCACAGGACCCACGTTAGAAAGGACGTTGTAGTTCCAACACATGCCAGCAGGCTGGAAATGCACTGGGATTAAATGCAATCAAGGTTAGGAGCTTGGCCTGGGGATCTGCCTCCCGGGTCTGAATCTTGGTTCTTCCAAGAGCAGGAGGCACGTCCCTCCTCTTCCCTGAGCGCAGCCCCTCTGCCTGCAAAGCCCGTGTTAGAGCATCCGTCCCTCGCAGGGTTTGGAGAGGATGGAGTGGGGCGAGGTGTGCAGAGCATGTGCACAGGGCCTGGGGAGGTCGTACAAGAGGGGCGTGCCCCTCAAAGCTGACAAATTAGAGGCAGAAGCAGGTGTCCTTAGACTCAGGGCAGAACTAGGGACAAATGTCCAGGTTCGGATCAGAGAGAGACTCATTTCTACTGGGGTAGAGCTGTAACAGCTTCTTGGTAAGGGTGAGATTAGAGCAAGTCCACAGAGAATGGGTCATTTCTTCTTCGAACACAGGTTCATGGAGCATTTCCTGTCTTCCAGGCTGGCCATAGGAACAGCTTGAGCAAAGGCCCTGGGGCAGAAGGGAGCAGAACGCTCCAGGGAAAGGCATAGGCAGCGGTGGGCTCAGGCTGCACGTGGGGATGGTTCAGGGGGGATATGCTGGACAGGGTCCTCATGGCTGGGGCTCTGGGAGACTGAGCTTTGCCCAGAACAACGAAGTGACTGAATGTGGCACACAGGGAAGCACAGCACTCAGTGTCCCTTCTAGGGACCTGCTGCAAAGAGGGCAGTCAGCTGACCGTGCATGTCTCTGCACCTGTAAGAGAGAATTTTTCCACTCCCCTCCTACTAATAGCACAATTGCAAAACAGCATGCTTAAGCAACTTTAGAGCAACATTTGACTAAACCTCAATCTCATGCAAACTTTGTAACCTCAAACTTTGTAACCGCAACCTTATGCAAGCTTCATAACCATCTGCTTCTGTAACCACCAGCTTCCTCCTAACAGGGATACAAAAGCCATCATATTTTGACCCCAATTTGCTCAAAAAATTTGGTGGCGAGTCCCCTCCGAGCCCGCCAGCATAATAAAAGCCTGTTTTGCAGCACTCCCGTGTGTTTCCCGGTTCTGTTTGCTATAACACACCTACGTCTGTGTCTAGTCACACAGAATAAAGACTAGCGGGACACAAAAATATTCCCTTATAAAGACGGGCTATTTGAATAATCTGACATACATGCTGCCTTAGTTTGTTCCTGCTGCCATAACAGACTTAGACTGGGTAATTTATAAAGAACATCGCTTAGGTCTCAGTTGGAGGCTGGTCCACGACCGGCAGGTCCAGCGTCTGGTGAGGGCCGATCTCTGCTTCCAAGATGGCGGCCCACTGCTGCGGCGTCACGTGGTAGAAGGGACGGGAAGGCACAATGGGCCACCGTGTCCTCACATGGCAGAAGAGAAGCAAAAGAGATAGAGAGCAGTTACCCCAGCTGACAAAGATGATCCAGCTGTGCCCTAAAATCTGTGATGTGCTGTGAAGGTTACAAGCTTTGGCATAAGGTAGAACTAGATTCGAATCCTGATTCTGCTGCAGTCTAGCTCAACGACTCGGGGAAAAATTTGTCCTCCCTTAGCTCTTGGCTCCCTCAACTTTAAAATGTGGCTAATAATATGAACACTTCCTACATCGTAAGGATGCTCTGAGGATTCCACAGGCCTTTGTGAAAATGGCCTGTTAATGTCAGCTTAGACTATTGCTACAGATGGAGAAACTGAGGCCTGAAAGGGCAGGGGCCCACCCGTCGTCGAGCAGCAAGGGATGGGCACAGCCAGGCTGGCACTCCAGGCCCCAGGGTCACAGCCCCGAGCACTGAGGCTGGGCCACCTGCTCCCTCGTCACTCAGAGCAGCTGAGTGGCTTCCTCCCCGAGGGTGACCAGGTCCCCACGCTCATCGCGCAGATGAGGAAAGGGGCTCGGAGCAGGACAGGGATGAGAACGTGAGACACGCACAGAGTCTCCCAGCTCAGCGTCTCTCGGGGCTGTCCCCTCTCCCCGCCTGTCCATCTGATGGCTTTCGTGATGTACAGATTCCAATCTGTTGTTGACACTCCCCCGGGCTTTCCGTGCAGGAATGTTTGCTCTGGAGGCATTGGATGGATGTGGTGAGACCGAGGACTTTCCAACAGTTTCCCAGATGTCTGTCACCCAGTGCCACGTCTCCCCCAGCAATGTGGTCGCTCACCGTTTATAAAGTCCGCAGAGCCTGTCAGGAATCAACCAGTGGAGGCCAGGCACTGCTATAGACTCCAGGGACATCCAGGTAAGCACCATGCAATGACACTCTCCGCCTTTTATCAGATGCTGAACCAGACTAAAACTTCCCATCAATGTTGCCGTCACATTCTGTGTTCGGTTCTAGCACAGAACGTGATAAATGTGGCTTCGCTAATGCAGGGCGGCGCGGAGGAGGGCCGGGGCATCCTGCCCACTCTTCCCTTGGCCACCCCTAGGTTGCGGCTTTCATCTGAATGCTCATAAAATAACCGTTGAGCTCGAGCCATCGTGTCTTATTTCCAATCAGGAAAAAGCAGGAGAGGAAAACGAAAGTACACATTTCCCAGCCGGGTCGGCCACTTTAAAGAACTTTTTAAGAAGTCCCTACCTGCGACTTCTGTTTGCACCTCATTGGCTATGCCAGGTTGCAAAGAAGACCAGGAATGATCATTGCTTTTTTAGGCATATTTCTGCCCTCAAAAATAAAAGGATGCTGTAAAGAAAGAGGGATGAATGGGCACGTGCCCTCGGCTTGCCAGGCTTCCGTTCCCGCTCTTTGCGGTGAGCATGCCCAAGTCGTCTCAGGAGAGAGGCCGTTGCGGGGACTCGGTGCTGTCCCCCAGCTCCAGGCAGTGACAGGGCTCTGCCGGCCACCCTCCCTCCTCCAGACTCCTAGTCTGTGGATCTTCCCAGGGCATTGCTCTGACCAGGGAGCGATAAAAAGAAACTTTAATTTGTAAGTCTGAAATTAACTTCCATTTAGTGGCACCAAGCTAAGAAATTTTCAAAATGCTTGCTGAGTCCTCGAAGCAACCTGTTTTGAGCGAAGAGTGGGGTAAAGTACACACAACTAAAGGCAGGACAGCTGGGCTCCAGCCACTAACTATGTATAGCTGGCCTCGGGAATAGCCTCACCCTGCTCCAAGCCTCAGTGTTCTCCTATCTGTAAAGTGGGTGCTGGGTGGGTGGGAACGAGTCCAGATGAGCCCTTTGGTCTCTCCCAAGCCCCGTTAGCTCCGCAGAGAACTAGGGGGCTCTGAACCTGACTCTGCTCACCTGGGATCCCACAGCTCCCGCCCCAAGGTGCTGAAGGTCTTGGGCCTCCTCCTCCTCCACTGTTCTATCGTCTGCTCAATATTTGAACATGTGACTCACCTGTGGGTCTTTAATATTATATATTTTAATTTCTTGATTTTCAGACCATTGATTTTTTTTTTTTAGCATGCATACCTCATAGTCTTTTATTGGGTGTTGAACATTATGGTGAAAAATTGTAGGGGTTCTGAATGACATTATCTTTTCCCAAAACAGAAGGAAGATAGCTCAGATTTATGCTTTATTGGGGTGGAACAATTTTGGTCTTGCTCTTACTCCTAGGGGCAGACTTGATTCTCAAGGCATAGCCCTTTCCCCTACAGCATGGTCTTCTGGCTGCATACCATCATAGCATTTTGTAGAGACGAGATCTTGCTATGTTGCCCAGGCTGATCTTGAACTCCTTTGCAGAAGCGATCCTCCCGCCTCAGCCTCTTGAGTAGCTGGGACCACAGGCATGGCCACTGCCTCTGGCTAGTCCTCTGGGTCTTAACTGCAAGCCCAAGGTGTCGATCAAGGTCACTGTGACTCCAACCAGTGTTTCCTCAACAGTGCCCAGTGGAGGCGATGAAATCCCCGTTCAGCTTTTGAACTTTCAGCTGCTGTTTTCTGCCGGGTATCTTAAGAGTCTCACACCGCACAGGACAGCTTAAGAGCATCCCAGGGAGCTGAGGGAAATTCGCACCCCAATTCCAAGGCTCCTTCTGTGCAGTCCTTTCCTCTTTGGGATTTTGCCTCTCAACTCCCATTGACTCTAGAGGTCCCAAATTCCAACTTCTGTCTCAGCCCAGGAAGACTGGCCCTTTCTACTTGGAGTCTATTTCCCCATAGGCATTTTGGGAAATGGCCTCAGGCAAAATGTGGGGTGAATATGGAGCTCACCTTGAATGATACCCTTCTCTCAAGAGTCGTAGGCTCTGACATTGTCCCTGTGCAGTTGCTCGTCAACTCCCTCAGTTGTTTTCATATATTTCTGCCGTTTATAGTGGACTGTGGTTGGGAGGATTCGTCTGATGCAAGCTGCTCTGTCATGATCAAACCAGAGCTCTCAGATGGAACTTGAACTTAGATTTCGGGAGTGCTGTGTAACTGCCCACTTGGGGCTCAGGGATAGGGGGAGAGGGTTCGGCACAGAGCATGCTTGCATACTTGTAGAAACAACTTCGAGATCGGTTATTCCCAGAAAATGCTTCACAGGCCACAATGTGGCAGATGAGCCAAGTGAAACACCTAAGTGTGTCATCGCCAGTGCTGTTGGGGATAAACCATGAAGATGAAAATGACAAAAATGACCCAAAAGAGGAGACTGATTAAATGAACATCGCCCAACCCACATGTTAGAAAGTTCTGATAAGAAAGTAGGAAGAGTCACGACGTGTTGCTCCTCAAATGAGTGATTCTACAGGAGTGTGGCAGGACGGCCCTGGGTTTTCATAACGTTACACGAACGCATAATTATGTAAAGAAAACCTTCTGAAAGAAGATACAACAGCAGTTATCTCTGTGAATTGATTTTTATTTCCTTTTTTTCTTTCTTTGTACATATATTTATTTTCTATTTTTTCTATTGGTCCCGAGGACCAATCCCAGCCCAGGGACTACGCTGTTCAAACAGCGGGTTCCGACCCAGAGGCGCTGCGAACTGGCCCCTGGTGTCCACGTACTCCAGCCCAGCCCTTGTTCCTCAGCCTGGGCCCATCTGGTCCACAGCGCCGAGCCCACTCTCCCGCCACTCGTGACAGCAAACCCTCGGGCCAGCAGATGAGAAGAGACCTGTCGGCACAGTGGCGACCATTCACGGTGCACACACCACGTGCCGGGGCCCCACGCTGCGTGCTCACGACAAAGCCAGGAGGGCGGTATGGGTGTGCGTCGTCTGCACTTCCCAGATGGGGAAACCGAGGCTCCGAGAGTGTCCGTTGTCCAAGTTCTCCAGCAAGCAGGGGGCAGAGCTGGGATTGCCTCCGGGCCTGCCTGTCTCTGGAGTCACGGCACGTCGCCACCAACACCGCGCTGTGAAACCGGCAGAGTGTGCCCTGCACGGCACCTTGTGATGAAGCAACTGTCCCTAAACCCCACAGTCCCACTGCGGGTAAGGGGGGGGAGGCCTTCAGAGGCCGTTCTCGTAACCGTGATGTCACATGCCTCTCAGCGGCAGAGGGCAGCCCCTGGGGAAGGCTGTGTCCCTGCAGGAAAAGCCATATGTCCAGCGCTTGCGCATGGGCATGAGTTGTGTGGCCTTGGGCAGTGACCTCACCTGTTGGACCCTCTCTTTCTTCCTCAATACTATGAGGAAAATCATACCCCCCCTCTGAGCCTCACTGGACCCATCTGGAAAATGGATATGGTTGAAATGGGTCCGCGTGGGTTCCGTGGCCACCTCAGACCTAAGCTCTGGGAAGACGTCTCAGAGAGTTTCCCCAAACCGACCTCTCTGCCCTGATCTCCCGCAGGGACCTGACTCAAGACTCAAGATGCTGAAGGTCTCTGGCCTCCTCGCTGTCCTCTGTGGGCTGCTGGCCTCATCCTCTGCTCAGGCCTGGGCTAGAGTTTCTCCAGAGTTCATCAACGGTGAGACCATCCCACCTGGGTCCTGCTTTGGATCGTGCCCTGACCCCATAGGCCTCTTCCCAGGCCCAGGCCCTGAGCCCACACCAGTTAAGTTCTGATGAGAGTCATGCCTGGCATGCAGTTCGCACCATTCATTCCTAGCTGTCCTGATTGCCACTTCATTTAATCCTCACGTCCCAAGATCCTCCCCTTCCCTGCGTCCTTGCCCTGCTTCCTCTGTCCAAGGACCCACCACCATCAAAGCCCCCAGTCCTGCACGGACTGGCCCTGCCCCACTCGCCTAACTGGCCCTGGACCCAGGCCCCCGCCACAGTGGCCTCCTCTGCACATGGGCATGCCCAGGCCTTTGCAGCCACTCTTCCCTCTGCCCAGAGCTCTCGTGCCCTGACTGGCAACACGCCTGCCTCCCTTCCTTCAAGTCTGCTCTCAAATGTCACCTCCCAGCTGCGCCCCCAGAACTCCAGCCTCTCCGCAAACCAAAATCTAAGGCGTTAATTCCAGGCCCCGCCAGGGGAGCCCAGGGCCTGGTGACAGAGCTTTGGCCGGGGTCCCCTATGCTCGGCCAGTGTTGTGCCAAGACCAACCCCTCCCTTCACAGCACTATTTGCACCTGACCCTGCCTGGCCCTTAATTCTCTGCATCACCATCTGCCCCCTCCTCCCCGCCAGAACGCCAACTCCAGTCTGCTCTCACGGGTCACCCCAGCCCCTGCATGGCCCTGGCACACAGGAGGCCCCAGAAATCCTGGCTGGATGATTGTGTCGGGCACGTGGCCCGGCGCCCAGCAGGCCAGAAAGCATAGGTGGACAGCGAGTGAGCGCCACGTATGGGGCATGCTTGGAGATCAAGTTTACATCTGAGAATCTTTGGCATCTGAATGTCTAATTGGGTTCTGGGGGAGCCCCATTCTTTTTTTCAGATTTGACTCCAGGACTGCTCAAGACGGCCTTTTTTCGCAAACTGCAGTCAAAGGACTTCGAGGAAACACTGGTTAACACCCTCCACCGTGCATGGGGCGACCTGAACTCCGAGGATACCCCATTCTCCAAGGAGCTCAGCCAGGTCAAGTAAGTGGTCTCCGATCACCAGCCAGCCCCAGTCCGGGCTGTGCAGGTCTTTGTTGGTTTGTTAGAGCTCAGCCTATGTTTCCGGACTTCGCAGAGGCCCCTTCCTCAGCAGACAGCCCTTCCAGCTCTGCCGGCCTGAGGTCCCCTGTTGGGAGACACTCGCAGAGGCAGGAGGCTGGGAGGTGATAGACACACAGACATTCAGTCCCCTTGTCTGGGAAGAGGAGGCTGCTCCCCAGCTGCGAGAGCACCCCGATCTCCTCCGCTCTCTGCCCCTCTCCCATGGGGAACAATAGCATCTGTCCCCACAGGGCTGTCGTGAGCATTCCATGAAATAACACGCATGAAATGTTTGCACAGCTCCCCATGCTCGGCAAGGCCCCGTCGAAGGTAACAACACAACAGTAGCAATAGCAACGTGATAAGCGCAGTGACAGACGACACTGAGCTTTGAGGTCAGAGTGACCACCAGAGCGTGGAAGACCCGGGCCCCGTCTCACAAGCATCTTAAACTCACCATGTCCAAAATCCAACAGCCAGTTCCCACCTTCGTCCCCCCGGCCTGCTCCTCCCCAGCTCCACCCGGCTCAGCTCAGAGCAGCTCCACCCAGCCCTGTGCTTTGGCCGGAAATCTCCATGTCCTCCTTGGCTCCTCAGACTCGCCCACCCCCACACGCAGCCTGTCAGCAAACCCTGGCAGTTTTGCCCTCGAAACACACCCAAGCGCCGGACCGCCTCCTCCACCTCCTGTGGTCTGAGCCGCCATCGTCTCGCCCCTTGGCTGACTGCCCCAGAGCCCCCCTTCCATCTCCTCCCCTCTGCTCTGCCCATATCCAGAGGGATCTTTCTAAGAAGAGGAGCAGACCCTGTAACTCCCTTGCCCAAACCCTCTAATGTCTTTTCATTGCTGTCAGAACTAAACCCAAAGTCATTGCCACTGGCCCATGGGCTCCATGCACTCTGACCCTGGCCACCTCCCCCACCTCTTCTCCTACTGTCCTCTCCGGACTCCCTCCCAACCAGCCACATGGAGCCTGTGGCTGCTCCTCACTCACGCCAGCCACATTTCTGCCTCAGGGCCTTTGTACTTGCTCTGTCTTCTGCCTGGCCTTTTCTTCTCCCAACTGTCTGCGTGACTCATCCTCTCACTCCATTCATGACTCTGCCCAAATGTCACCTCCTATGAGAAGCCTTCCCTGACCATCCTGTCTTAAATTCTACTCTTCCCAATGTCACCTTCCATCTCCTGATCCTGTAGATCCTTTTCCTCACAGTCCATCCCCTGACATTTTCTATATGTATTCATTTACTGAATTTATTCTTTTACACATACATACACCTTCCCCAAGCATCTGCTATATACGGTGTTCTGTCCTTTATTCACTCATTTGTTTCAGCCTGCTGGGTGCTGGACAAAGTGCTGAGCATGATCATTCTGAGCTACATTAAGGCAAGAGCTTCCTTTTGCTCAGAGATGCATTCCCAGTGCACACAGCACATAGTGGCTGTGCGATAAATTACTTGACCGATGAGTGAGGAGCCACCTTTGCATACCTTCGCTCATGCTCTGCAAGGGACCTGCCTTTGCAGAAAGCGAGGCCCACCTGCAGCAGGAGCCGCAACCTTCCCCTGCTGTGCTGTTGCTTCCCCAGGCTGAAGGTGCAAAATCCTCAACTGCTTCCATCCTCCATTGATACCACCACCGGTGGAAGGAATGAGGCCACTTTACAGATACCACTGTCAGTTGATTTGGCTTTCAAGTAAGTAACAGTTGTGAGTCTCACAGGCACCATCTGCTTTTGCGCAGGTGTACGGGGCTGTGGGAGGCAGTCGCCACCAAAGGGATGAGCAACGGACTCACCCTATCTGGGCCTAGGTCACCGCCTCTGGGCCTGGGTCACCCCATGCGTTGAGTTAGGGGCAAAGAGTTGAGCAGGTTCCTCTCCCTGCTTTATTCAGACAGCTGCCACCTTCATTTCTTTAGACTTCATAGGCCCACCTGGCTCTGACTGAGCACGGCTAAAGACAAGAACACAGAATCAGCTCTGGACCTTAATGATCCTTGGCACCGTTACCACGGGCCACGGGGTCGCCCCAGGGGCTGTACTTGGCCTACAGATACGCTGCGTCTGGTCTGTGCTTTCGGAGGGCAGGCGCCTTCAGTCCGCTACAGCCTTCCTCCCTCTGCGAAACTCACCCTGGTCCACCTCACTCATTTCCATCCAACCCCAGCCCTCAAGGCAATGGAGTTTGAGACCTCTAGAAAAGTACTTTCCGGCCCGGTGAGGTGGTTCACGCCTGTAATCCTAGCACTCTGGGAGGCCGAGGCAGGAGGATCACTTAAGGTCAGGAATTCGAAACCAGCCTGAGCAAGAGCGAGACCTCGTCTCTACGAAAAATAGAAAAATTAGCCGGGCATGGTGGTGCATGCCTGTAGTCCCAGCTACTTGAAAGGCTGAGGCAGGAGGATCACTTCAGCCCAGGAGTTTGAGGTTGCTGTGAGCCAGGCTGACGCCACGGCACTGTACTCAGGGCAGAGACTCTGTCTCAAAAAAAGAAGAAGAGTACTTTCCAAGGTCAGAAGCAGTTGCTCAGTTCTGATAGGATGCCCGACTTAGAATCAACATTTTCCCTTCTAACAGTTCCCAGAGCTAGAGGTGGCGGGTCTCGGTTACACTCCCTGAACGCACAGCGTCTGACTTACTTAGCCGCTGGCTGGATGCGGGACGTGGAGAGAGCCATCCCGATTCTCTACTCCTGAATCACTTCTTTTGAAAAATGAGGAAATGACCTTCAACAGATGGTTTGGAAAGTTCTATTTGAACATGGGGACCCTCGTCCTAGAAACAAATGGGGTTCAACAAGGTCCTCTCTCACCAGCTCTAACTCTTCCTTCCCATAGTTTCCCACACTTGAAGTCCTTTAAAATAAACGTGCGAGCAGAGACGACGGTCCAGCTCCGCGTGGAGAAGAAGGAAGATGGCAGCTACAGGCTTTCTTTTGCGAAGTGCAGGGCCCCATCCGAAACTAAGTGGGTCCGCATTGGAAGCTCGTGAGTTCTTGATCTTCTTTGCCCTGTGTCCATCTGCTTATTAGGAAGCCTCCAGTGAGATCCCACCTAAAAGATGTCACCAGAAAAACAATACCCTACAAAATAAGCCTTTTTGTGTATATGGACATGTGTATGTGATAAATAGAATTTTACACATATTTATTATTTTGTTTATTATAAAAGCCATGATTTTATTGACATAAAAAGATGTTCACCAAATAGAACTGAGAGAAAATAAGGGAAGGTTGCTTGGCCGTGTGTGGACAGTTAGGTTATTTCTAGATTTTTTGCTCTCATAAATAATCCTGAACATTTTGGTATAGGAAGTTTTTCCAAAAATAGGGTTATTTCCTTATTACAGATTTCTAAGATTATTCTAAAAGGATAAACAGTTCTACAATGTTTACATTTAAGGCATATCATAGTAGTTTTAAGGCATTGCCAACTCACTCGCCAAACACCTCGCCAACAGAACTGAACCAAGTGACTCGGCGCTCGCTGGCCCTCGCCAGTTTTGCCCTGTACACCATTAGTGCCAGCTAGTCTCATTTCCACAGCTTTTGGCTTCAGTAGGTGGAAAATCCCATGCAAGCTATTATTTTTATTCGTTTGACTACCGTAGAAAAGCATTTCACTATTTGTGTATTAATCTCTAATATTTCCTCTTTAGAGGAACTGTCATCAGAGGTTTTTGTCCTTTTATTACCTAGAGTTTTAGTGTTTTCTTCTAAATATATCATCTCTTTTTAAGAATCTTTTCTTTGTTGAGATTTTTAAAACTGAGGCTAATACACATATTTAACTTAATCCAATGGTCATCACCAGTAAATTGTAGCTGATTTCTGTGCAATAAAGACATAAATGCTTTGCCTGAGAATAAGACAGGTTCACCCTCCCCTGTAAGGATTAGGGACTCTGAGTCACTAAGATGCCCTTACATCTGCTGCTCTCTTATCTCCCCCAACGGAGAAGGACCTTACACTCTTCCTTTTGAGAAGGCGGTGGCCACCTGACAGAGGAGGCAGTGCTACTGTAGCATCAGATAATCAGGGAAATGGGAGAGTGGGCAGGAAAGAAAGAACTCAGAGTTGGCTAGAAAGGTCAGGAAGGGCAGGCATCCTGGAGGAAACCAGTTGGCTGGGCTTAATAGGGTGGTCAAACTGGAACACAAAATAGTCACAGAGAAGATAGTGGTGGATGACGATGACAAGGGAAAGGTGATTTAAATTGAAGGATTAAGGATCTGTAGAGGGTAAGTCAAAGCAGTGGGGCAAGGCTGGGTCATGGAATGTTATGGAAACAAGGAAGAGACTTGAAGCGATTCAGGGGCATTGAGCAAAGAAGTGATTGTGGAGAAAAGAGAGTTTGGGAGAAATTAATCTGTTCTGCACATTTTCCTCATTCTTCATTTAGAACCAGCCCGATTATAAGACTTCTTCCAAAACACTTGGAGGAAGAACTGAAAGACATAATATCCTATCATATGGCAAAAAATGTAAGTATGCAAACCCAGGTTACTTCCGTTTTTGAGCTGAGCCCCAGGGCATGGCGGGTTGGATCTTCTTAATGAAGTGGGAGGTGATCTTCCAGGAAAGAGAGTTAAGGAGAGATGAAGTGGCATTTATTATGCTCCCATTCTGCGGCCAGGCACTGGTGAAGTGCTTCACAGACATTATTTAGTTCCCTAAGTCAAAATCGGCATCTGCATGAATGGAGGTGAGTTGACAAGCCTCTGCAAAACTCAGCTTCCTTACCTGTCTAATGGGTATGAGTAAGCATAAAATTAACAGCTCATATCCATTAAGCATGCATGCACCGTGCGAAGTATCTGAAATGATATTATCTCATCCTCCAAATAATCACATACTCTGAGTAACAATATTATCTCCATTTTCCAGATTTATGAAAAGTTTCCGAAGAAGGCCAGTGACTTATCCAAGTTATTCAGCAGCCAAGTGGCTGAGCTGATATATGACCCCAGGGCAGTCTGTCCCCCAAACCCATCTACTTGGTTGTTCCCTAGAATGGGTTGGCTCAGGAGAACTTGCCTTGATCACTCCCATTCAGGCTTTAGTTTTATTTATTCAGGTTGGTTGAGTCCTCCTCCTGACTTGTATGTATTTCTTTGTCTTTCAGCTGTGTCCTGAGCTCAATAGTTGGCTCCGTACGATGAATCCTCTATTAATTAATGAGTTCATTAGTAAGTGCTGGAAGTGGGGAGGAACAGGAACACTCCGGGAGAAAGCTCAGACTCCTCCCTTACCCTTTTCAACTCATCCGCCCTTACCTCGCTGACACTTCTCTTAGACCAAAAATCTCTCCCTTGCTGCAGCAGAATGGTCCCCAATAATAGCAACCCTAATGAACTCAGCTGCCATTTCCTGAGGGAGTCCTGTGTGCCAAGGCCAGAGAGAAGCACTGTGCCTGCACCGGCCATTGAGTGAAACCCCACCATGAGCTAAGGACGTTGGTTTCAATTCTATTCTGGTCCTGAAAGCTTAGAGAAGCTGAAATATGAATGGAGGCTTCTCTGGAAGGAATACATGACAATTCCTCCTTTACCCTCCTCTTAAATTGTATGGTGTCACACAGCAGGCGGAAAATTGGCCAGGTTTCAGCCCAGACAGAGACTGTCTCCTTGTAGGAGTCACTGCCTCAAGCACCCAAAGTTTCCATGTTTGCCAGAGCTCAAAGCAACAAACACAAGATTGAATCTTGGCAGCTCAGGGCCCCAGTGGGAATGAAAAACCGAAAGAATTACTGGGTTGAAAGGTCTATTTTTTCATTCACTGAATATTCACTAATTCTGCCAAATACTAGGTGCTAGAGTTTCTAAAGTTCCCTTAAGTGGCTCTTCCAGCAAGCAATTTTTCTGGCCTCTGCTTACACACCCTCATTGACAGAGAGCTCACTACTCACGAGGTAGGAAGCTTGAGGCAATTGACCTGGATGGGCCTTAGAACTCCCAAACCCTGGGTTCCTAAGCTCACTCAAATGGGTGACGCAGCTTGGCCAACAATTTCTGCTATTGGGCCACCACTTTGGCCAGGCACAAATGGGGACTCTGGCTGCCGTAATGCCAACCTCCCCCACTGTCTCATTCCCATGTATGCACTCTTAGGCGATCAGCCTGGGAGGAGGTGGTTGTTTCCAATCTATGGAAACCAAGGCCCAAGAAGTTTAAGCAATTTATCCAAGATTACTCAACAAGAAATAATAACAATAAGAGCTAAACATGTATGAAGTGCTTTACTATTAATACATGCCAGGCACTTTGAGGACTTTATATATATCAGCTTGATCAGCCCACACAGGAACTCCGTGAAGTAGGTATTATCACCAGCTGCATTTTATAGATGAGGACACAGAGACAAAGGGATATAAAATGTTTTTCCAGATTTCCACGGAAGAAAGTGGCAGAACCAGAGTGAACCCACACACCAGCTACAGAACCCACACTAGCAGTCGCTGTACAGCTTCCATAAAGAACGGTCAGGGAAGTCATCTGTGTCAGCCAGTGACAAACCAGAGCTTCCAGCCTCAGCCTTCTGTCCCCAAACCTTTGCCTCCCCCCCCCCATCTGCTCCCAGCTGAAGCAGGGGAACCTCCTCTGGCCTCTCTGATCGTCCTCCATCCCTGCCATCTGAGGTGTCTGTTTTGCGTTCTAGATCTGATACTAAAGGATAAAAGCTTCACATTTGATGTCTAAATATCCCCAAAGTGAAGGAGCTACGTTTGGACCAAGCCGGTGAGAGACCAGGAGCATATTTCCATTCTTTAGCCATAATGTCATTCATATTCTTAGAATTTTAGTTAGGAATGTCTTCTGTATACTAGGCACTATTCTAAATGCTGGGGATACAACAGAGAACAAGATAGATGAGGACTCTGACCTCCTGCAGTTCGTATTCAGGTTGGGAATAATAACAGTGAACAAAGAAATGAGTACATAGTCAACTCAATTCCAGAGGATGGAGGGTATTATGAAGAAAACACAGCAGGAGGATGTAGGAATGAGTACAGAGGCAAGGACAGGGAGGGAGGCATCAAATTAATGTAGCCAGAGAGAAGGCTCTTTGGGGAAGAGACATTTTGGCTAGGCTCTAAATGATAAGGCAGAAGAAGTTGTGCCAAGACCCAGGACACAAGCACCACAAGCAAGAGGATGAGTATGTGCAAAGGCCCTGAGGCGGGAATGAATGAGCTTTCCTTTTTGAAGCAAAGAAAGGAGGCCGGCATGGCTGGACTGTGGAGGGAGCTCAGTTATAGGAGACATCTTTACAAGAGTAACATTTGGCAGAGAAAAGGCAGGGATTTTCTGTAAAAAGGAGATGTAACTATTCATTTATTTATTGTGTATTTATTCGCAACTATTCTGTGCTGAATATACTCTGCTTGGGTGTCACTATCTCAAATCTTTCAAAAAAGGCACATCTGCCTTTATTTTTCTTCATGACACTCATTATTATCTGAATTTCCTACTATATTACTAGTTTCTTTCTGTCTCCCTCACTGGAATGTAGACTTCATGAAGGCAAGAATTTTCCATTATTACCTATATTATCCCAAGTGCCAGGATTACAAAGATGAATCACACATGGCCCCCAACCTCAAAAGCCCCCCAGCCTAGTAAGGGATAAAATAAATAAATAGGCAAGTTAGCGTGCAGTCAGGTGCTCTGGCTGAGGTTTCATGCAAGCAGAGAGGTGAGGCCCAGCGGCCTTGCCAAAGGACTTTGTGGAGTCTTCACCTGGGAGGCAGGATTTAAACTGGGTATTGAAGAATGATTAAGAGTCTCTTTGTGGGAAAAGACATTCTGAGCAGAGCACACAGCATGTGCAAATACGTGGGAGTAGGAAAGGATCTGGTCTCTGGACAAGGAGGAGAAGCTCTGGGTGGCAGGTCATAGAAGTCACAGAGGATAGAGGTATCCTCTCAGGAGTAAGGGTGAGTTTGTAGAGGGCTGTACACATGCCTTCTGAGCACCAGCGCACATGTAATGAATCGAGCTGCTAAGAAGAAGGTACAATCCATGACAGGGGACATAAGAAATTGAATGGCCACTACTACAATTGCATCCACATCCTTGTGTTGCTTAGCTTGGTTATGTAACGCTTTAAACCAATGCTGTCCAATAGAAATATAACATGCGACACACATGAAATTTTGAATTTTCTAGCAAAGACATTTTTAAAATAAAAAAAAACAGATGATATTAATTTTAGTAATTGTTTTATTCACCCAATATGTCCAAAATATTGTCACTTGAACATGTAATCAATATAAAAGTTATTGATGAAATATTTTACATTTCATTTTTGTAGCAAGTCTTTGATCTTGCATATCTTTTATACACACAACACATTTCAGTTTGGCCTGCCTGCATTTCAAATGCTAGTATCCACACGTAGCTAGTGGCTACATGTGGACAGGGCTACCTTAACTAAGCTAATTTGCTGCCAGTTGCAAGATGTTGAAAGGCATAGAGCGTCTCATTGTGTCCCCACCAATACACCTAGGCTGCCACTTGTCACAGAAGTCCCAAGTTTGTGGCCCCCATAACATATTCAGCCCACAGACATATTTGGTTTAGACTAGAAAGTGTTTTAGGAATGTGAATGAGTTGCCAAGATTAAAAGTAAGAAATAAGTCTTTTGATAAACTAGGGCATCTGATGATATTTTGTATCCTTGTGTCATGAAGCAGGCCAAGGTGAGGAGGAAGACCCATCTTAGTTGATGAGAAGGAATCCAGGGAACCAGTGAGAAAACATTACCCAGAGACAGACAGTGGTTGGTTGACGGGACGGGAATCTGTTTCAGCACCATGGATAGTGGACAGCAGTGCCCGTGTGGAGGGGCGTGGGAGGAAGGGGAAAGGCTGTCAGATCTGGTTCACAGCCTGTTTAGAAAACCTATGAAGGGCCAGGCAGCTGGCCACGGTGGTTCACGCCTGTAATCCTAGCACTCTGGGAGGCCGAATCCGGAGGATTGCTCAAGGTCAGGAGTTTGAGACCAACCTGAGCAAGAGTGAGACCCTGTCTCTACCAAATATAGAAAGAAGTTAATTGGACAGCTAAAAATATATAGAAAAAATTAGCTGGGCATGGTGGCGGCGCATGCCTATAGTTCCAGCTACTCGAGAGGCTGAGGCAGAAGGAAGAAGGGCTTGAGCCCAGGAGTTTGAGGTTGCTGTGAGCTAGGCTGATGCCATGGCACTCTAGCCCAGGTAACAGAGTGAGACTCTGTCAAGGAAGGAAGGAAGGAAGGAAGGAAGGAAGGAAGGAAGGAAGGAAGGAAGGAAGGAAGGAAGGAAGGAAGGAAGGAAAGAAAGAAAGAAAGAAAGGAAAGCCTACAAAGTTGACTAATACCTGGATTATCTCACGCAGAATCAGGTCCTGCTTCCAGGCTCCTCCCCGGAACGTCCTCCCCGCTGCAGGACACCCCCTGCAGCCGCCGCTCGGAATCGCATCACCCACCGTGGACTCAAAGACCCCCTACTTCTCTGGGCACGGAGGCTGTTTCCCTGTAGATCCTCACCAGAACCCATGCGCTGATCCCCTGTAATTTCCCACAATAAATTTTTTTTCAGCCCTGAACTGCGACTGCCCTGCTTCCACAGTGTCATGGGGTGGGGGCAGCCATCGCCAGAAATGGTGGTGGGTCTGGTCATATGACAAATGTCTGGAGGGCGGAGGAGAGTGCCTGGGTTAATTCATCCCTTATCTCAGAAATCTCTGAACACTCTGGCACAGAGTTTCCCGAAAGCAAATGAACAAGGCTTCCTGTCTTGTCTAGGTGTTTCCTGAACTGATTCTGTGACTTGGGTAGCTCCATTCTCGTGGCCACGATACCCTCACTGTACAGTGAGGGTGTTGGTCTCGCCCTCTAAGCGCCCTGAGGCAAAAATAGTCCACAAAGTTGTGGTTTATGGGAGAAATTTTATCTTGGCCCTGGCAACTCCATTTTCTTCCCTGGATCACCAAACTTCTCAAAAGACATAGTGCTATGCACTGCCTCTACTTCCTCACCTGCACCCGCTGCTCAGCTTTTGTGTAATTGACTTCTTCCTCCAACTCCTTCAAATAACTTGCTCTAGGTCACACACGACCTCCTTAATGTCCAACACCAGTGGACCCCATTCAGCGCTCATGTTCCTCAGGCCATTTAACAATGTGCACCTTAGGTGACTACTCCAAACTACTCCCCATCCAGTCCTCCAGTCCTTTTTCTTCCTCATCATTATACTACTTTTTTTTTTTTTTTTTTTTTTTGAGACAGAGTCTCACTCTGTTACCCGGGCTAGAGTGCCGTAGCGTCAGCCTAGCTCACAGCAACCTCAAACCCCTGTGCTCAAGCAATCCTCCTGCCCCAGCCTCCCAAGTAGCTGGGGCTACAGGCATGCACCACCATGCCCGGCTAATTTTTTTCTATATTTTTAGTTGGCCAATTAATTTCTTTCTATTTTTAGTAGAGACAGGTCTCGCTCTTGCTCAGGCTGGTTTCAAACTCCTGAACTTGAGCTATCCGCCTGCCTCAGCCAGAGTGCTAGGATTACAGACGTGAGCCATCCCACCTGGCTGTCTTCCTTATAATTATCTTTTAAAAAAACATTTTTGACTCATGCCTGGCACTCTTCTATGCACTTTACATACATCACATCACTTGCTCTTTTAAATAAACTGGTGGTTATTAAGCTTTGGTCTCTTGGTTCCACATTTAGCTTTCTGTACTCCACTTTGTAATGCTGGGTTTGGGATTCTGCAAACCACAGAGCTGGGTGAGACTCGGGCTTGATGGGTCGGTTCCTGCACCGCATGCTGCCGTGCGTTAAGGGCCCTGTGAGACCTGCAGCCCGCACTCCCCCTGCTGGACCAACTCCGGCTCACTGAACATTTTGGCATTTGCCACACGTGTCCTTTACTGGCCTCTGTAGAGCGTGAGAGGAAACGCAACTGGACGAAAGAGGTTTGCAGAGACCGGGGTGAAGGGCAAGGACTGTGAGTGAATTTACTCAGAATCAAGATAGAACGAACTAGAGCCAGATGGCCTGGGTTCAAATTCCAGCTCCGCATTCCCCAGTTCTATGTCCTTAGACAAGTGACTCTAGAGTCAGGGTCAGTACCAGCCTGCCATTGTCAGTCTTTCTGCCTCTCCTTGCAATGCCTGTGGCTGGGGGCGGGCGGCGGGGGGAATGTGAGGACCATGTTGGGGAGAGGCTGGTGGGGAAGGGGCCACAGCTCCTCTGTGCTCCCTCCTGCAGGGCGGGCTGTCTCGCTCCTGCCCCAGCCCCTCTTTCCCCAGCTGGGTGGCCCTGGGGATTTTACTGGACAGCCCCTGCCTTGCAAAGGGAAGATGACAATACCAGTCCCCACCACAGAGGGCTGTGTTGAGGACTGAATAAGCCATTACAAGTAACGCACTTAGCTGCCTGCTAGGATGCCAGCTCAGCCTTGTTCTGGCCAGGAGTGCGGGCAGCCGCTGGGCTTCTCTGGGTCCCTGTCCCCTCGCCTGCGTGGTATCAGGATGGAACGAGGTTGCACACAGAGCAGGCTTAGCACAGGGAATGAAAGCGCCCCAAGAAACAAACGCCAGCCCCACCGTCCTCCGATAGCTGCTTATGGAGGAGAGGTCCTCGTTCTGTCATCGCTCCCCACCCCCTCTCCACCCCCAGGAGCACAAGCATGGGACTCCCAGCCAACTTGTGGCCTTTGCCCTGGGTGTCAGCTCAAACTCCACCTCCCCATTGTCATCTCTGCCTGCTGGAGTTGCCTTTCTCATCTGTGAAATGGTTGGGGTGAGGGCCGTCTTCATAGCGTGGACTGTGAGCCCCGGCCCACGCGTGAGTCCCTGTAGTCCTCACCACAGCTCTGAGGGCTGCACTGTGCTCCTTTTACAGACCCGGGAACCGAGTCTGCAGGCGGCACCGGCCGGAGCTGACCGCTGGTCTGTGTGACCCGGAAGCACATGCTCCTAGCTGCACGTGATTCTGCAGCGGGCTGGCTCCAGAACGAGCGCCCACCCCTGAGCCGGGCCCTCTCGTCCCTCTGCTTCCGTTCTCCCTTGTCACGCATCAAGCTCTGAAAGTCACATCCTCCACGTTGTCATTTCATCAGACTCTGTGACCCTGAGACCCACAGCCTGTGACAAGGCAGGACTGACCTCCCCCCAACCCATATTAAGACATCCAAAGAGCCAACGACAACAGATTTGTTCCTCTCAGTAATGTCCACTCTTCTCCAATTTTCTTGGCAAAATATAACAAAATTCCAACCAGTTACACAAGACCAGGAAGGGTGAGAGAAGTACATTTCAAAGTAACCGATATTCTACAAACATCCCCTGGGGGAGCATGAACTCTGAGAAGGGACCTCACATGGGGAAAGCCAACACCCGAACCAAGCCTTCCTCTGCACCGTCTCCTGCAAAACCAGAGTGAATTGCCCACGAGCGGTCCCAGGGCTTCTGTGAAACTCGCAAAGGATGTTCCCAGCCCTCACCCGACGGGGACCCTGCGCATCCCTGGCACCTTTGTCCCAGCTCACAGCAGTGGGGTTAGGGGCCTGTGCTGGGCAGCGCCAGAGGCAGGGACATCAGGGACGACCCTTTGCAATAATTCAGGCCAAGCTGACGGTGGCTGAGGGGCAGTCCTTAGGCCTGGTCACAGGCTGGAAGTGGTGGTTGTGGGAATTAAGAAATGCGAGGACAGGAACACCTGGATGCATTTGACACTGTCCCCAGGAAGGTGAGAATGGGGGATCTGGACCGAATTCTCTCCAGCCCCAGAGCACGAGGTAAACCTTTCTGCTCCTCTCCTGTCAATCTTACCCAGAAAGATAAGATCTGCCCATCCATCCAATCATTTATTCCTTCATTAGAGGCAACGTGGATATAAGGATTAATGACACTCACATTCTGCCCTCAAGAAACTCATAATTCAGTGGGGAATCAGAGATCAGTCATCCCCACACATATATCCAGTCATTTAGTCACTCAACAAACATTCATTCGCATTTAATTTCTGGCAAGCAAGCATCGTGGTAGGGGTTGAGGTTGCTCTTGCCCTTAAGAAAGTCCTAGTCCTATTGGAAAGCCTGGGGTTAGCCGTCTTCACTCCTTCATTCATTCCTTGCTTCGCTGAAGAGTCACCAACATCCAGCCTGTGCCAGTGCCTGGGAGAGGCCCCCGCCCCTGTTGGATGGCCCAGCAGTGGGCTCTGGTGAATGTCTCCAAGCAACAAGGCCTCCCTCTGGAGCCCTGGCCTCCCCACCAGGGTTCCACCTGCCACTCTCACCACGTGAGCCAGCCCTGGTGGCAGCTGCCAGAGGCCATTGCACCCCTCCCTACAATATGCTGGGGGCTAACTCTGCTGTCATCTTCCTGCAGAAAACCATGAGCCCATCCAACCAGGCAGCCCCCCTCACAGCCGTCTGCCCAGGCCCCAACTGACCCTTCTTGACACCTGCAGGTCCCAGACCCCAAGATGCATCCACTCTGGAGGCTCCTCATCTGCCTTGGATTTCTGTCCTTGCCCTGGCATTGTGCCAGGGCCACTGCACATGGGCTGGCCCAGCCACGGCCCCACAGACAGTAAAGCCACCTGGCAAGAAGTAAGCTGAGCCCCAGCTCTGCCTGCTGTGACCGAGCAGGTGAGATGGCACCATTTGGACCCCACCACTTACCTGTTGTGCGACCCTGGGTCAGCAAGCCTCTCTTCTTCCTTTTTTTCTCAGACATCGATTGAGGTAGAGTTGACCATGAGCCAATTCCTAGGGCGTCGTCATTCGCATGAATCCCTCCAAGGTCCTTGTTTATGTCATTTTTCCCTCTTATCCCTATCCCCACTCCCATGTCCCTGCTGCTTTGGCAGGCACTGCAGTGTGTTTGATGTATGCATTTAAATATGCCTATACCCTTGTGCATGCAGTGTTTTGATTTGCATAAATTGTATCACCACATAGACCTCATTCTGTGTTTACTGTTTCCACTCAACACCATGCTGTTGGCATCTGTATTTTTTCAGCTGGTGCAGAGAGGTCCATAGATTCATCTACTTTAGTTTATTTGACCATTCCCCTAGCGATGGACACTTAAGTTGTCTCTAATTTCCCACTATTATAAGCTACACTGAGATGAACATCCTTATACGTGCCCCTGTTAGACCCTGTGGGAGGATTTCTGGGATATACCCAGGGCTGGGCCTGGGGGTAGACATAAACTCAATTTAACTAAAACTGCCAGAATCCTCTCTAGAGTGGCTTTGCTGGTCTACACTTGCTTCCGTAATAAATAAGCATACGTCTCCCCATTTTCCCCAACGCTGACTAGAGAATACGCATCTATATCAGTCAGCTAGAGCTGTCAAAACAAGACAGCACATACTGAGTGGCTTAAGCAACAGACATTTATTTTCTCACAGTTCTGGAGGCTGGAAGTCCAAGATCTAGGTGCCCCCAGATGAGGACTCTCTCACTGGCTTGCAGACGGCTGCCTTCTCAGTGTA